TAATTCATTTCAAAGTTCAAGGTAGCAATTTCAACACTTTGACCCAAATATGGCATATTTTGCAAGAGGAGCAATGCTTTAATGGTTTGGGAAAAACTGATTATTAAAAATTTTTAAGAAAATAGGTCAAGTTTAGCATAAAATTTTGTAAACAACATTACTCCTTCTCGGATGGGACACACTTTTTCAGTTCGACTCCTTACCAGTTCGAACTTGTAACAGTTCGATTCTGTCCGCGTTCTGTTCTGGTACGTGTGCGAAAAAAGGACTGTTCTGAATTGAATCAGTTCGACTTTAGGTCTGTTCGATTTTGAAAACGTTCGAATTCGTCGTACCCCCAGATTTTCAGCTCTTTTAAAAATTGCTTCTTAACTTTCAAAACTCTAGATATTTTTAGATAAAAAAGTATATTCTTTGTTGATGATCATACTGTATCTCGGCTATCCGATAGAGTGAATGCTCTAGCACACACTCTAGTACACAGAAAAAACCCTTAACATTTTTGTGGCAAGTTATCTCGCTTCCTGTAAAAGTTATCAACAATGTGTTCATTGATGAAATGTTTGTTGTATTATTATAAACATTTTCATAATTAACTACTTTTTCCTATCTTTCATAGGAAATGAGATTCATGAGCTCAAAGTGGACGACTTGGCAGGTATTCTATCAGAGTGTTTACGGTACTTGCGTTTGAGCTCAGTTATCTCAATATCTGTGAGAGCTATGAGATATCTTTAAACTAATAAAATGTTTGTGATATTATTTCAAACATTTTATTAGTTGACAACTTTTTGATAACTCTTATAAGAACCGAGATAATTGAAATGCAAGAAAATGCTGGATTTCTTTATATATCTGATCATTGAAACATCTGAACTTTTGTGCTTTAATTATTTTCTTTTAATTATATTCCTAATTAGATTTTCTATAGTCGACCACGTCCAGAACATAACCACCAAAAAATGTATACCAAAAGAAGGAATGCTAATAGAATCAATCGAGTGGAAACAAATGAGACATTTAGTTGAGCAATGGAAAAAATGGAACAGCTCTTTCTCTGGAAAATACAAATAATAATAAGTAATATAAGAGAGTGAGGGGGGACTGAAAAATACTCGAAGAATAGTGAAAGAGTCTCCAGATGAGACCCCCGGTTTGGCACTTCCGTCAGAAGAAAGGGACCGCCCGTTTCCTCCGAAAAAAACATTTTCTTCTTCTTATTCCAAGAGAGAGTAAGACCCCTTTTGCTCTTTTTTGTCTCACTTCTAGAGGGAAAAAAGGCAGGTGGAAGTCTGTTTCCTTGGCTGATAAGTACTTTTCCACTCTACTTTTCTATTCATTACCTTCTGAAGGGAAACAACTTTTTTCGGCTTCTGACGGAGATTTAGACAGAGAAAATATGTCGGTTCCCGGTGGTCGTAGACCATCTGTGGCCACTTTTCTACGACAGTTTGCTGCAAATATTATACCACTTGTCAATGTTAAACAATCGGTGGGTACTCTATTTTTTTGAAAGTCCTGAAAATTAAAAAAAGAAGAAGAATAGCATTTCAAATTGAAAGTGCTATAAATTTCGAAAAATAACTTTTACGATTTTTTGAAGGTTGCTGAAGGTTTTAAAAGGACATAGTGTTCCAATAGGTCTCCTGAAATTCTTTCTTTGATTCTCGATATTCGCTGAAATTCAAATTTTCTCTAGAGCTTCAAAAAAGGTTTTCATTTTAAACTCCCAACTTCTTCTCCCAAAAAATATTGAACTTGTGAATTATCCAATTTTGATTGATACCATTTTTGGTTTTTTCAGAAATTGACTGAAATTTAACATTTGTAAATGTAAAAAAATTTTTTAATAGTCATTTTTAATGGGATTGATTACGGATACTGTATAGTTTTGCTTCGTCTGCTTTCCAAGGATTAATTTATGATTACATAGTTTATACTTCCCATCTTTTTTAGTAATTCTAACGATTCTATGACATCTCAACTACCAGATCACCCAGGTCTTGTACCCAACATCCCAATGTCTGTAAGAAAAACAAGCACATTGCGATGAGCCAAAAAAAAGAAGAATAAATAAATGGTAGATAACAAAACAACCAAAAAACAACATGTTTTTTCTCTTGCTCATTTAGAATTTCCATTTCTCAAATGCCATATAAATTTTGGATAACTAAACATTACATAATTACCCACACTCAAGATATATTACCCACACTCAAGATATATCATAAAAATTGAGTTTAAAAAATCAAGTGTAAAAAAATCAAATTTCGAGTTCAAATTCTCAAACAATTCATCAATAAACTGGCCAAATTTCAAACAATTTGATCAACTTTGAGCTGAGTTATCGCTTGTCAAAGTTGCTTCTTCTCTAGGAAATCACTACGGCTTGGAAGAAACATTAGACTTGAGGAATTGCTTTGAAAATTCCAATAACTTTGAAACAAGCAAAATATTATATTTCTACCACTTTTTGTTCTACTAAAATATTTATGTCTAAAGGTATACCCGTTTTTATCAGTCAGGGGATTGTGCGCCACCCTGTATGTCAAATATAGAAAAATTAGACCTTTGAGATTTCATTCAAAGTTTATTTCTGAGCAGAAATTTCTATGTGCACTAGACCGAATCAAGGGTTCTTTTATTGTAGAAAAATAGTAAAATGAAATATGCATTTTCTTGATGAAATTCTTCAATTTTGGAAAACGAACGCTAGATAAAAAGGAAAAATAATTGACACGGTTTCTGTTAAAAATAGGGATTTTTGAATACAACAGAAGAACGAATGAGACAATAATGCGGTTTTTTGTGAAGGGGATATCAAACTCTTCAAAGTTACTGAAAAAAATGGCGAAAAAAAAACAACTGCCTCTATTTGATACTTCATAAGACTTCGATATTCTGGACTTCCAAGATTGGAGCTAGAAGCTTTCTGGAGCCGGGGGGGGGGGGGGGGCGAATCCGAAGATTCGAGAGTTTCATAAATCCCACGGACTTTGATTTTCTACGATTTTTACCTTATTTTCAGCTGATTTATTATTCAGGTACAAAAATTGGAGCTATGGCAGAGAAACGCCCGGTGGTCGTGGTTGAAGGTCCCACAACTACAACTACAGTAATTTATAATAGGTTTACTTTCCTGTTTGGAAAGAAAGGACGAAAAGCAGTGAAAACTGAAATAATGAATCCGGAAAATAAACACATTTTTAGGTTACGCTAGTTTGTCGTTGTCGGACCACCGGTGTTTCTCTTCCACAGTTCTGATATTTCTACCTGTATTATATTGGCTTCACTCGAAAGAAGTTCCATCGGAATCCTGATTCTTGTACTTGAACCCCTAAAACGTCGATGCTGAATGTTTGAAAATTTGTGATAAACATTTTACAGAAAAAGTTTGGATTCTTTCCAGTCTCCGGGGATCAAGATATAGAGGAAGAGATTCAAATTTTGAAAATCTGTTCTAAGAGAATTATAAATTGGGAGGTCTAATTATAATTTTATCACTTTTCCTGTTAGAATACATTTTATTCTTTTTAAATACAGATTTTCAAAGTTTTGATCCCTTCCTCTATCTCTCTATCGAAACATCAAAAATGAGGGAAAGAATTGAACTGCATCTCCAATTTCTCGTCACTTTTGTTTTCTTTTTTCTTTTTTTTCCTTCCGTCCTAATGGAAAAAAAATAAATTGGGAGGTCTATGTGAAGAAGCAAAAACCAACAGCTTTTCTCCATTTTATAGTCTTTCTTTTTTCATCTAGCCACACTTCTTTTGAGATCTCGATCCCAATTTTCTTAAAATGAATAAATTGAGAGGCCTCTAGGAGAAGAAAAAATAGAAGACTTGTTCGTCCCCGACAGGATAAAGGGTACAAAATAATGGTGAGACGCAGTGTTAGAGTTTTCTCTGCGTCTCTTCATTTATCATAGTCTCTAATTTTTCGAAAGTATGTATGAAAGATATTACTGCTCATTTTTCATTTTGTGTCATCGTCTTTCTCTTCTTTTCATCATTTTTCTCTTTTTTTTTTCTTGAGAAAACATATATTATGAAAAGGAGAAGGAAGTTGTGTGTGAAGTATGAAATTATATATCTCCCAGTAGTAATTTCTATAACTACCTAAAATTTTAAAATCTGAATTCCAGATGCCCACCACCCAAATCAACATTGTGCTCGCCGAGCCACGATGCATGGCTGGAGAGTTTTTCAACGCAAAAGTCTTGTTGGATTCATCGGATCCGGATACCGTAGTTCACTCGTTTACAGCAGAAATCAAAGGAATCGGAAGAACTGGATGGGTTAATATCCATACTGATAAGATTTTTGAGACAGAAAAGGTGAGCTGGCTTCGATGAAATAATTAGCTGAACATTGATTGCCGCTAACATTCTAATAGAACGACACCCCACACTTTCAGCTTTCAGGCAACTAATCTCAGGGGGGAGAAATTTCAAAAAGTTGTCAACTGATAAAAACATTCTGATATGATAAACATTTTGTCAGTTGTCTGTTATATTTTTTTGATATCTTCTACAGAAATTGAGATATACGGATTCAAATTTAACATATTGGAGGTCATTGACACTGTAAGATTGTCGATGTTCGGCTTCTAACACAGATTTAAATGAAAGCAACAAAAACTGAAACTAATTTTAGAACATTTTTTCAGACATACATCGACACACAAGTTCAACTTTGCGAGTCTGGAACGTGCCTTCCAGTCGGAAAACATCAATTTCCAGTTCAAATTCGAATTCCACCAAACTGTCCGAGTAGCTATGAAAGTCAATTTGGAAGTATTCGATATCAAATGAAAGTTGATCTAGTGGCGAATACGGAACAAGTGAGCGATGACCTTGATTCCAAGAATATTAAACAAAAATATACATTCTCTTCTGTAATCCACAACTTTTTATAGCCCCAGCAAGTCGCGCAACTTTAGTTTTGGGGGTGTTATGGTTCTAGGCTGCATATCTTTTTTGGATGGCTTTGTACAAAAAAGTTGTCTACTACAAAAATAAAGCTCTGTTTTTTATTGATATTCTTTGAAATTTTCCAAACGATCAGAAAACTTTCACTTAATTTTTTAGTGCATCCAAATTTGATTTTTTTAACTGGCTCGATTTTGAATATGAGGTTGATAAAGGAGGGGAAAAAGGCGCAATTCTTGGAGATGTTAGAAGCGAAACTTTTTCCTTGTTTTAAAATAGCTTTTTAAGATCTTCGAACGGATTAAATTAGTTTGTAATTTTTGCAGGCCTCCTGCTCCGAAGTCTTCCCTTTGGTCATATTAACTCGCTCATTTTTCGATGATGTTCCTTTGAATGTAATGTCTCCAATTGACTTTAAAGATGAAGTGAGCTTTATTTAACAAAAATGTATGGAAATTCCTTTTCCCAGGTCGATTTCACATGTTGCACACTTCCATTTGGTTGTGTCTCGTTGAATATGTCACTAACACGCACAGCATTTCAAATTGGAGAAGTAAGTTTGCTCTACTAGACTCAAAAAACTTGCTCTATTGATAAAACTTTCAGTCCATTGAAGCAGTGGTCACAATAAACAATCGAACGAGGAAGGGGTTGAAAGAAGTGGCTCTTCAGTTAATAATGAAAACTCAATTCGAAGCGAGAAGTCGATATGAGCATGTGAATGAGAAGAAATTGGCTGAGCAATTGATTGAGATGGTCCCATTGGGAGCAGTGAGGTCCAGGTGTAGAATGGTATGTGGTTGCAATCAAGCTCTATTGAGAAAACACGTTTAATTTTCAGGAATTCGAAAAATGTCTGCTCCGTATCCCAGACGCCGCTCCACCAACACAAAATTATAATCGAGGAGGTGGAGAATGCTCAATTATTGCAATTCATTTTGTGCTGAAGTTGACAGCGTTGCCAGGTATTTTTTGACTTTGAAAAAACGAAAATGAGCTCTACCGTAACTGTCCTTTCCAATAGAAAACTGCTACCGTAAAACCTATACTAGAAGGACCCACGCACTGTCAAGTTTGAGTTCAATTATCTCAATTACTATGCACGATATCAAAACTGTGTCAACTGGCAAAACACTTCTGATATTGTGATAAACAATTTATTAGCTGCCAAAGTTTTTATATCTTTGACAGGAACCGAGATAAATTGGCACGAAGTTGAAAGTTAGGGAGTCCTTCTGTTACAGGTTTCAAGGTATAAAAATTTAGTGGAATTGGTCCAAATCTTTTGAAATAAACTTCAAAAACTATTTAATACAAATCGTGATTTGCTTTTGTGGTTCACAACTTTTCTAAAACGAGATTTAGCCCTAGCAAGAGGCACAAATTCCATTTCTGGGGTTTGTCTAGCTTTAGGCGGCATGTCGTCTTTGGATGGATTTGTACAAAAAGTTGTCTACTACAAAAATGAAGCTATATTTTTGATTGATATCATCTGAAAGTTTCAAGACGATTGGACAATTGAAACTTATTTTTGTAGGTCATCGAAGTTTTATTTTTTAACGAATTTGCTTGTTTTTTTTTGCAGGAATCGAATGCGAAATCCCCCTAATCGTGACCAGCTGTGGATACATGGATCCCCATAAACAAGCAGCATTCCAACATCATTTGAACCGTTCAAAAGCAAAAACTTCAGCTTCCCAACAGCAACAACCCCGGAAAACAAGAAATATCGTCGAGGAGAATCCCTATTTTCGATAATTTTATAATAAGAAATCTGACATATTTTCGGGTCGCTTTTTCTCTTTAAATTTATTACGTTCTGCTTCTTCTCTCTTTCAAATAAAAAAAAATTCCAAAAAAACCCCCGTCTTTTTGCCTCTTTTTACAACAAAGTAAACTTCAAAACTCTCCTCCCTCCACTCTTTCTCGCGCCTCTCTTCTCTCGTTTCCCCTTTCCTTCTTGTATGTCATGTCGTCCCCTTCCTGCTGTTGCCTCGATGGCGCAGCGGGTAGCGCGCACCGTCGTCAATTGGGTCGGCCGTTGCTTCCTGCAAGTTCAACTCCGGCCATCGCTCTCCAGCTCCATGCAGACGTAAGAAAGTCAGTGTGGCGTTTTCATGAGCGGAAATTGTACACTGTTCCATAAAACAATTGTTACACTCTTTATGAGAGAACGATCACCTAATGGTTCAAACATTTTGCATTTCTTGGGGGTTTGTTCGAGGGATTGATGAGATTCGAGGAAGGAGGTTTAGAGAGTTCTGTCTTTGATAACTTCATGAAAATATAATTATTTTAAATGTAGCTACAGGTGCATTGGCTATACTGGGCCCAGTACGAAATATCATCTAATCTAAACCACGTGGAATCTATAGTTCCAGAATCATAAAAATCAGGAAAATGGTCTGGGAAAATGCAAATCTTTTTCCGATGTATAAACATGACAGTTTCCCCTTTTTCGAGTGTTTGATTTGTGATGCTTCCCACATTTTCCCTGTTTCTCTAACTTTCTTTAATTTTATGTCAATGTTTTTTTCGTTTTTTATTCCTTGTCACTTTTTTTTCGTTTCAGCCTTCATCTGAAATTGGTTTATCCTTATTTCGTTCCGTGTTGATCTTTATTTATTTCCGTGTCAGCTAACAAAAAGAAAAGAAATGGAACATTTGAATTTTTCGAGACATAAAAGTTCGAAAAAAACTTTTCAGAGTTCTTGAAAAATCCTAAAATAGAAAAAACTTAATTTTTTCGAGTTTTCACTAGAAACGAGTTCAGAAATCAAGACTTGTCCGTTTTTTTCTCATAAATCATTTATCTTGTTTTTTTTCATTGAAGACTTTTAGATCCGGAATTTGTTCTTTTTTTTCAGAAAAAATTGTTATTTTAGAAATTTAAAAATTTTTCTCGGCGCCCATTTTTATTATGTTTTCTCTTTCGTCTATTTTATGTCCTAATCCTTACCAGAAACGATCAGACCTTTCTTTTTTTGAGAATAGCAATAAGAATTTGTTTTATTTTTTTGTATATTTTCCATCTAGAAATATTTAAATTTTTATGCATCTCATCGTATTTTATTCGAAATTTCTGGAATTATGTTTGTTTATACAGTTGTTCTGTAGAGTACACAGTTTTGAATTTGACAATATTTTTTGAAATTCGAAAATATGTTGACTTCAAATTTTCGGTTTAAAATTCACAATTTTCACATTTTTATGGTTTCGAATCTAAAACCGAAATTCTTACCAGTAAGAAATTGACCTATGAATCCAATACTTCTGAATTTCTGACATGTGGCCTAGAATTAACTAGCCACAAGGACGCTTTTTCATTTTTAAATTATCTTGAGAACCATGTTCCGAAAATTTCCAGCAAACCCGGAAAATTCGAAATCTATTATAGAAATTCTAAAATTTTCTGAAACATATAGTTTTTGATTTTTTACTAAGCCTTGGTTGGAATTTTCAGAATTTCTCATACTCCAAAAACCAAAAAAAAATTCGTTTTCTCATCCTCTTCCTCCCCCAAAAAAGAACTGCCCCCCCCCCTCAAAAAATTCTGGTGAAGATTGACGTCGTTGGCAGTGGCGTCTTTTTCTATTTCAAAATTTCATGCATTTGGGAGAGTTCATCCCAAAAACAACGATCAATTGCACTTTTTTCTCCATGTGCCTTCATGCTGAAAATTGATGGGACACTGCTGAATGTCTTCAGACCGCCCGAACTCTTTTCTTCTTTTTTTTTAAAGATTCGTTTTTTTGTGCTGAGCAATTCTGAGAAAAAAGAAAAAGAATCCCTAAATCGTTTCAATGCTTTTAAAGATGGAATGAGATGATATGTGGTTGGGGAGGGGAAAAAGGCTCACGGAGCACCTGAAACGGCCTATTTTGATGGAACGAGATTAGTTCATAATGTTTGTTTCGAGCTTTTAGAACTTTAAAGTTTTTAGTTCCTAGATTTCTGGAGATTTTACTCAATAACAACAAAACATGCCATCTACTGTATCAGTTTTTATGCTCAAAATTGACTCCAAACTTTTTAAAAATCTACAGTTTTTCCAACTTTTCCGAAGTCGAATTTATACATTTTCCGTGGTCGTCTACCTTCTATGAGTTCTAAAGCTCTACTCATTTTTGTGTCAAATTCAATACATAGAGTGCCTATTATGCTGAAATCTTTTCAAAAAGATAATATCTCCTATCATATTTATACTCATATTTTCCTAAAAGTTTGAATTTCCGAAATACCTAAAAACAAGAGCTGGGCAGATGGGAAAAATGTCCAAAACTTGCATAAGTTGTACCACTACTTCAATTGGAGTGTTCACAGAATTGCGATCTACGATTTCGAAATCTGAAGGATTAGAAATATTCCAGCAATGGAAAGTTCTGTCTGGGATAGCCCCTTATTATCAGCCTGAACTTCCTAAGCTGCACCAATGTGAAAATGCGTCAGAGGCGCTGCATACAGAACCAACGACCACACAAAAGTTATGGTTTCCCATGACATTCGTTCCCCATAACCCCCTCTCATCCTTCATTTTCTCTCTTTTTTTGAACCAACAGCTGTGTCAACTGATATGATGAGGAGAGGGCGGATATGTATGTATTTTTGAAACGATGATTGAGGTGAAACTCGCTTCTATTTTCTATCCATTCAAACACCCAGAAACACCTCTCAAATAACATTTTTTCGTGGTTTTTCCCTCAACAGAGGATACGAGTTTCCGTTTTTTTTCCGTGTTGTTGTCACTCAAAAATAGTGTTTATTGATGAACAAGTTAGGTTTCTGAGAAACTTCTAGTTACTTTCTTTTAATTTTTTTAAATTTATCTTCTTTCCTGTTCCTAGACGAACATAATTTCTAACTCATTTGTTTAATTTGTAACACATTGATTTTATAAGTGACTGATAGTCCTGCGAGCGTTTTAGCTCATTTGTCGTAAATGCCACAAAGTGATCTTCGTCTAAACTATTTATCATAATATCGGAAACATTTTATCAGTTGACACATTCTTGATATCTCTCATAGATGACGAGATAATGGAGCTCAGTCTTTACTGTGTGGGGCCCTTCTAATACATTTTTCACGGTATATGACATCGTTCAGCATCAAGATTCCTTCTTGAATTTTTCCTGTGTTCATTGGATTTTTTACAATAACATCCAAATCAATGAAAAATAACCTGAAATTATCTCCCATGGAGTATACAGCTGTACAGATTGTTATTCAAAATCAGTCTAGAAAATTCACAGATTTCCGTATACGAGTTATGTTGTTGTGATATTAATGAGAATCTATTGTTTTGGCAGTATACACTTGTCTATCTATAGTTTTTCGTTTGATCATATATTCTTCAGGGAGGTTTTTAAACCAGGTCCGGCCTGTTATAACTGTTAAATCTTTTGAACCTAATTCCGTAGTATTTTTCTGGCACAAAAAACCAGAGCATGTGGCTGTGTCCTGAAGGTCCCACAACGACAATTACCGTAACCTAGAGATATTTCATTTTCTGGATTTACCATCTAGATTTTTGTCCGTTTTCAGTCATTTTTTTTTACTAAAAACATGGAAACGTAGCGAAACACTTAATTTTGACGGAAACCCAGCGAAAAACGCTGAAAAACGAGATAATGCATCCGGAAAACGGAAACATTATTAGGTTACGATAGTTGCAGTTGTGGGACCTTCGGCCACGACCACCGGCGGTTTCAAACTTTTCTGCTTGTTTTTGGAATTTCAGATTATCCCGAAACACATTTTTCGAAAAAACTTTTTTCTTAGAGTTTTTGAATTTTTTCAAATTTTTATGACAACGAAAGTTTTGTTCATAGACAGGTGAAAAACAAACAAAATAGGTTCCCTAATTTGGTATGAATTTAGAATTTTCTCGTTTTTTTTTGGTTTCAACTTTTCGGGATTCAAACATCTCTTGTTCTTTGGAAACACATTTTGACCTTTTCAGTCGCTCAGTTTTATCTTTTTGAAAACTAAACTTTTGCCTATAGTTGAAAAGTCAGTTAAAAACCCTGACAGGTGGATTTTTTTGTTCTGTTGTGTCGAAATTTCTAGATTATGGAATTTGTCTGCTGGCAAAGCATATAACAAGGTTGTGTGTTTTTAATGAAAACCGGTAAACCGAAAAAAAACGAAACAATTATGGACTTTATTGGAATAATTGTCAGGTTTTAAACTTATGGTTTTTCCATAATATTGTAAAAATCGGTTCTTTGGTTTTTTGATTTTTGCTTTTTGAATTGGCTTTCAAAACCTCCATATCTAACTGTTTTCTAGCTGTCCTGATGTCCTCAAACCCTTATATCTTCCTGTTTCCCATCCAACCCAATACATTATATTTTTGTGTCTTTTCTTTTTTCGATTTTTTCTTGTTTTATGATTTGCTCTAGATTCCTCTTTTTTCCCTCCACCCCCAATAGTGTTTTCCCTCTTGTTGACACATTTTAAAACAGTTCCAAGCCTTCTTTTTCTCATCTTTTCTTTTTTTCCCCCATTTCCAACCAGTCACATTTTCTTTGTATGTTTCTACCGTTCTCCTGAAACCCGACACTTTTTCTTTTTTTAATTGCTCATTTCTGACTTTCGATTGCTCATCTCTAGTTATTTGTCTTTCTGTGGGACACGTTCGCAACATTTTTCTCTTATTAATATGTTAACTAGATTCTTCTCTTTAAGTCTAAAAATGTAGCTGATCTTTAGCTCTTTTGAGTTCATCAAATTCCATGGAAACTATCAGAATGCATGGA